TATGTAGGTGCTCAGCCACCAGATCGGAGCTAGGAGCGTGGGTTAGACTCCAGTTTTGTCAAGCCAGCCTATGTGCCTCACTGCGAGGTTCCGAGCCTACCTGTTAAGGCTTAGGGTTTGTTTGTTTTTCCCCCTTCTGTACTGTTTTACTGTTCTGTATAGACCGAGTGTTACTGTACTGTTATCAAGGGATTAGGTCCCTGTACCGTGTGACTGTAAATTTTGTATAGACTGTACTGTTTGTATATGTATGAATGCATGAAAAATCTTTTTGGCATACAGACTGTCACAGCTCAATGGACACTATTTATTTACTGTATTGGCTTCCGCCAGGCCCTGTACTCTGTTTACTGTATTACTGTTCTGCAGGCCTTCGGTAATCTCGGATTACTGGCCGGTTACGGTGCTAAACCCATAGGGCCAGGTTTGGGTCGTGACACATGCCCCAGTCACCCGGTGACAAATGCCACGATGCTTCTTTCCACATTCCGGACAAACAAGAGCTGAGTCTCGAGTGGGGGTGGAAGCACTAGACGTTCCTGAATTCTGTTTCTTGTTCGGTGGAGTAGTTGACCTTTTTTATATTTGAGTATTCTGCCTATTTCCCTTCCACTCGAAAATTCGACTTTGAGCAGCAATATTTCCCTCCACCATGACAACTCTCTCTAACACATCAACATATGTGGGTAGCTTCGACACATTAATTCGATCAAGAATGGCATTCCGTAATCCCCCTTCGAACTTTCTCGCATTCGTGTAATCTGTGTCTACCATGTGAGGTGCAAACCGGGCTAATTCTGCAAATTGGGCTTCATACTCCGCAGCAGTCTTGTTCCCTTGTTTGAGAGTTTCAAACTCAGTCACCTTTTTATCTCCCATACAATGCGGGAAATACTTGTCGTAGAAGCGTTCCAGAAATCGAGTCTAGGTCAACCCTTGATGTTCAGTTCTTGTAAGCATCCAGCACCTACGAGCTTTATCTTCTAGAGTGAAGGTAGCCAATTGTACTTTCAGAGTTTCTGTACATGGGAATACCTTAAATAGCTTCTCTACACCCAATACCCACGCCTCAGCTTTCATCGGATCAATTCCCTCTTTAAATGTTGGCGGCTTCATCTTCTTAAATTCCTTTGTAGGAGTAATAGTGCGGTCCTCAGCATGATAATCTTGCACCACAGGTAGCGAAACTGGTGGCGGTGGCGGCTGTGGCTATGGTTGTTGTTGTTGTTGTTGCCGTAAGGTCTCCGCCATTTCCATAATCATTCTTTCCATTCTGTCAAACCGTGCGGAGGTAGAGTCCTCCGGATCATCCGTCCTCATTCTCACAATTTCTGCATAACAATCCATCACCATATGCACAAGAGATATACAACTAGATATGGACAACAACCATTACGGAACACTTGTTAGTAGATATTACATATACAATTCACGTTGCTATCAATAATTTCAGATGCACCAAGAACGCCATGGATGCTGCCTAAGTCTTTTCTAGACATCCTAAGGCTCAATAAATTCATGTTTGAGATGGCAACTCGTGCTCTGATATCACTTTTCACACCCCAAACTTGCCCCTAAAAGTTTGGGCATGACCAACTCGATAACGGTCTCAAAACTCAACAAATATACATTATGGGGCTTGAACGGAAGCAATTATTAACTTAAAACAACATTCATTGAGCTTAAGTCTACGTGCCAGGATCATAAACATTCATCATAAAGTCCAACGCAAAATGAGCAGACCCATAGGAGATAAATACACATACATATATATATAATCCCATCCCCGCAACTGGGGTACAACAAAAAACATCAGTATAGAAGGATGTATATAACTAATAACAGTTGACAAAAAGCCGGCGGCCAATGCTTGAGTTATGAAAGTAACTTCACAGAAATGATTAGGCTTCACCCAACCGCTTGGATACAGCGGGGTTGACAAAAGGAAAACTCGTAGGGCTGGACTAGAATAGACCTCCAGGCTGAGAACCTACAGAGACAGACATAATACAGAGTAAGCAAGGCTCAGTGAATAATAGTATGTAGAGAATTCAAATGAATAAACTTGAATTATAACGTATACAAGTGTATAGGTCACATGGTTGATTTTATTCTGTAAACATTTCCATAACGGCCTTGGGCCCAATCTTTATACAGGATGGCCTTAGGCCCAATATCAAGAAGAATGGCCTCAGGCCCAACATATCATGCAAAACGGCCTCGGGCCTACATAACAGAACAACTGTCAGAACTTTGGAAGGTAAGTGGTACATCGACATGCACACCATTTCTCTCAGCCATAGGCCAAGCATCATATTTAATTCAAATTACAGTCGGTGAGACATTGACATGCCCTTACCTTCCTCTTTAACAGATTTATCCACACTCGGTGGCTTATAACTGAACGGCCTCGGGCCCATCTTTTAGCAAAGCAGAATAATCTCAGGTCCATAAGGGTATCAAAGTTCAATAATGTACACAAATTTCCCAATTGTACATTACAAACCAACATAGGTAACGTACAAATAACGGAACGTTAATAATAACCATTAACGATAATGAAACATATCACTACAGTACTATTACTCACAGTGCTGTGGTGGAGTGATAATCCTTTCTGGGATGAAACCTACACACAAATACAATTCCTACATTAGTTCATTTCCCCTTTTATCAATATTCGATTCATTTTACTTCCATTAAATTTACGAATATTTTTAAAGTCCCAAACACATAATTTAACGATTCTAGTGGGTCAAACAGGAGAAAAGAAATTCACAAATTTTTCCCCCTTGGGCCGCACGTGCGGATGCCCTTAGCCACACGTGCGGGAAGATGGGCCGCACATGCGCTCGCACGTGCATATTTTTCAGAATCCAACTTTGAGTTTCCTTGTTTTCCGCACGTGCGGCTGTGAGCCTCGCACATGCGGTGGTGCTTCCCGCACGTGCGGCCATGACCCCCGCACGTGCGGTCGTTGTCCCTGTTTTGTGCAGTCTGAATCAAGGCAATTTCACAACTTGGTAAATACATGGTAAAGCACAAAATATGGAGGAAATTAATGCAACATAATAGCTCAACACCACCATAAACAAGATTCACAAGTTTAATTAGGTTGATATCAACTTCAAATTTGCATACACTACTCAATCCCTCCAAGGTTTAACTATTTGGTACTCAATTATATATAACTTTCAAAATATAAGGATGAAGTCAACATGGAAGAATAAGAGAATAAAAATGTAATTCCACTCCTTATAGTTTATATGTACTTCAAAACAACCCTAAGATAAGAACACCTTTTCATCAATCAATTAACATACTCTCAAGCTCAATTACCACCCCTAACTTGCATGAAGGTTAAGAAATTCCTACTCAAATCCAAGAGGGAGGTCATACAACGTGGATCGAACTTACCTTGAGTTTAGCTCTCTAGAATTCTCCTCAATTTCCCAACTTCCTTCCTTGTTGATGCTCACTCCTCTTTATTCTTCCTCTCCAACTCTCTCTATCTTTCTCTCTCTCTCTCAAGAGATATTTAGGTTTAGTAGATCAACTTACCAAGTTAAAGTTGAGAAGATATATATAAGAGTTGACACAAAAGGACAAAACTTAATCAGTTTAATCATTCCGAATCAGATTTTCACAAAAATGCATATTATAAACTAAAAATCATGCTGATCACATGTATGAGGTCAATTTCGGATTATCAAGCTTCTAAGGCTTTCAATTGCTATTTTTAACATCTCAATTGTAACAGATATTTCTCATACGTGACAGATATAATCTATAATCATATGATTCACACAATTAGACTTAATTTCACATGGAATTTCACATTAAACATGTAAGTGCGCACAGTAAGGGACTTAAAGTATACCAAAAAGCATATTTGGGGTCCACCCAAAATGGGCTCAAAATTATGCCTATATAAAACCATTTTCCAACAGATTTTACAAATTTGAGTTCAAACTGTTCAAATTTGTGCTTTGATGAAGACTCTTCTTTGAAGTTAATTTAACCTCAAATACAAGGTTGATGTAGACAAGTACAGACTTCTCAAATTATTTCAAGCAATGAAAACTCAACGGCGAGTTTTCTGAGAATGAGAGAATGATGAATACCGAATTTTAAAAAATAAATATTTTATTTTAATATTTTGAAATTAGTATTTGATTAATAATTTAGTATAAAATATTATAGAATTATTTAGTTATTTAGTTTCATGATTTGATACGATGCAATTTTCCATTTTATCAGTTTTTATTTTGTTTGGGTACTCGGTCCATAAATCTAAATCTGAATTTTCATTGCCCAATAGTCCAAGAACTGGAATATCATGTCTATAAGGACGAACTCTCACAAAAAGACCAAACTACCTTTATATATATGATCCACGCATGTCTTCTCTCATATAATCAAACCCCCCTCTTTCCTCTATCTTCTCATCTATTGGTGGTCATTTCTTCACCACTATTTCTCTCTCTCTACCTCATTTTCTCACTTTAGACATTCTAGCAGGTCACTGTTTGGAATTCTTTTGAAACTACGGTTCATGCGAGTCTATCAACATGGCATCGACGTTGGTCCCAAATCTAGCGATGAAGATCATGATTTCGATGTAAGCGATAGTCGAAATCCATAGCCTTTGACATTGATTCTCGCTCTGTACTCTGCTCTGCTCCTCCACTTGTCCGAGATTTGAGTCAGATTCCGCATATCTGTCGCCGGCGACGAAGACAGAGAGAGCATCTGTCGTCGTCGCTGCCGAAGACAAAAAGACTAGATCTAGTCGGTGGTAGATTTGTCACCACCTCTGACACCACTTGTCTATCTCTCTTAACCCTTGATTGGGAGACCTTTCTTGAACCCCGTCTCTTCCTCTACCATCTCAACATTTTCTTACTGTAGATATCCTATTTTGACAGGCCCTAAGACTTAAGTGTTTTCTTTTGATTACCCGATGATGAAAACCAGAATATGTTTTTCGCATAATTCTTAGTAAGAAAGATAGAATTTATGTTTCATTTCCAAACCTACGATTGTTTTACCCAAGTGTTCAAATCCCGTTCAAAACTCTCTTTCGAAACTTTCTTTCTGCACTATTTTTTGAATATTTTGTAGTGTTCCAAGGCTCACTTTTAAACTTCAAAATGAAACATTTTCTCAAGAAACTGAGCAAAGAATAGTGTGGAAATAGGAGGAAAATAAGAGACTTCTGTCAAAAAATCCTGTTTCATATAAAGTAACCAGCCCCGGCTAAATAATTGTCCGGTAGGCTAAGTGACTAGCTAGCCAAGAAAGTGGTCAGTAGGCTAGTTTTTTGGCCTGGTAGATCATCTTTTGGCCAACCAGCCAAGAAATTGGCCAGCCGGCTACTTTGCCCAAAAGCAGGGCAATTTCGGCGAAATCTTGATGAAAGCATGTGAGCCATGCTCATTTTAGATATTTCTTGTGATATTCATGCACGAGGTGTATGTAGGCCCCCTCTATTATCATCCTTTTGCCTCATTTGTCAAAAGAGAGGTTGTCATATTCATTAAAGATGACCACATTTTCAATCCATCCATATCACCCCCATCACCCTTGTTTCCTTCCTTCTTGATTTAGCAATCCTCTCTGATTACTTATAGAGATAGAGAGGATCAGAACGTAGGAGAATAGAATTGAATTGAGATAGAATTGAGAGTTGGAGAGAAGACAGAGAAAAGAGAACATAGAGATATATAAACTGATATACAATGTTATATCATGTTCAAGACACCAAAATCATCTCATAAATTCCATTATAGCCATATTCAAGAGCCTTAATCCAAGATAGAGTGAGTGTAGTTGAAAAGAGAGGAAAACACAGTTGTATCTCTCTCATTCCACATACTCTGTTAAACATCCAAAAAACACCATTCCAACTAAAATTTCGAATTTTGGAATTGAGAATTAGGAACACACTTCCATAAGCTTGAGGGTGGTCAAAAGAAAGTTTGTAAATCAAATCCTTCTTTGGAAAGTGAATTTTTCACACCTGTCATTTTCTTGTATTTCTTGCATTTTATTTCCTTGAATTGATTTTCTTGCTTTAATTTCATATTATATACCTGTTGTAAGCTAACTGTAAG